GCATTCCTGGGGGTGGGGGTGGAAATGGTATGATCCACTGTAGGGGTCTTTAAGGTGTGTGTGTGATGTGATATATTAGATGCTAGTAAACTGCAACCTTAATCATGCAAGTAAATCTTAAAAGACATGTTGTTGCTACTGGGGGAGCTCAACAACCCACCCTCTGGCTCCCACACTGTAGCTGGCAGAAAGCTCCTAAACTGTCTGTCCTGACTGGTCACCTGGTCCCATTGTTTGCTCTCATCTACTGTCCAGGCAATCTGCTGTGCATCTCAAATGAACCTAGAGAGAGGGTAGAAAAGAGTACTGGTAAAAGAAAAAGTCCCGGTACACCAAAGAGTAAAATTTAGAAATGCTGATACAGCGTACCGGTGTGTACTGGCCCACTTCAAGCACTGGTTGAATGAATATGTATGAATTTTGTGTTTGAGCAAGCACTAATCTAAGACAATTGAGGCTATATGGGAATGCATATGTAAATTTACATGTACCTGTAATAGTTGTTATTGTTGTAATTTAAGTAAGTATACAGTACAGTATATTATCTGCCACTCAGAGGTGTTGGCTGCAGATGTATATCACAGATCATCAGGCATCTTTAAGGTAGAAATCAGCTGCATGGCCTCTCTGGTTCCTAAAAACAGATGTGATGCAGGAGCGTGTATAGCTAACATGGCAGCCAGCGAACATTGCAATAGTGAAAGTAGTGTTATTTCCATCTTGATATACAATGGAGTGGATCAGTCTCATCTCTGTCGCCCTCCAAAATATTTTACCCTCAAGATGTGCACAGGAAACAGAGGCTTCACTGAGGTTAATGACCAAGGTCCATGTTTGAGATGGACTGGTACTGCAGTGCTGCATGATGTTGATGCTATTGACTATACATGTGTTTATGTTTGACTGTATGTGTTCAGGTTTGGTGCAGCAGATTAGGGATGCTGCAGCGGTGACTAAGACCACCAGAGCCAACTCTAGGAACTGTCTGCTGATCATCCCTGATGGCCTGTTTACCTTTACTCTCAGTGGCTACTTGGATCACAATGGTGAATTAAAAATGAACCAACCTTTAGGTCAAACCAATGGCAATCAATATTATTCTGGGTTGCCACAACATGTAAATGGTTAAAGTTTTATAGGTGGCTTTCTCTGTCTCTGTGTGTCATTAGTTAGATATTGACTTTTCCTCCCAGCTAGCAACTAATGAAGAAGCAATTTTTACGGTTGAGAAGCTGGAAGCAGCAAATGTGTGGTATTTATGCTAGGTAAATTGTTTTCCGAAGGCGTGACAATACATTTTTGTCTGACTAATTAATCAGTCAACCAATTTGCCCATGGCAGTTTGGTCCATAAAAATGGCTTTGTTTAGAGCCAGATGTTTGGACAATAGAGTTCACTCAGGACGTTTCCATCCACCCCTGTTATGTGAACAGTAGGAGTTGCTTCATTAAAACTTCACAGATAAGTGTGTTAATGAATCCCATATCATACATTACTGTGTGTGTGTGTGTGTGTGTGTGTGTGGCCTAGGTGTACCGGTGGCCCCCCTCAGACAGATGACTTAGCAGGCCTAGCTGAGGCACTCACTCATGTTGATGGAGCCTGGGAATAAGTGTCAGTGAGTCCAGCTCTACATTAAGTGCTGCTGGGGCAGGTTGGCTGGGTGCTGTATCCTACTCCCCTTTAATTAAAGCCAGAGTGTAAGGTGCACAGGAGGCCAATTCACCAGTCCCCACCCCTCTCCTCCTTTTACCAGAGCCACAGTGGGTCTTTATTTATGAGCTCGCAGAAGCTGAGTGAATTTATATTTTTATTTTTTAAAGCATACGCCAGCCATTTAGGTTCATTTGATAAGAGAGAACCCCCACTCCCTGTTCAAAAGGTTCTCTTAGTCTTTGTTAAATTAGAAAAAATAATGAAA